GGGAAGGGAAGGGAAGGGAAGGGTTGGGTTGTGACCACCTACAGTCAGGGAGGGATGGATGGCCCCATGTGCACTTTAGGGACCCAAGTTGTCTGAGCTGACATTGCAAAGCACATTTAGGTGCTGTTGCTCCCTTCCTGAGCCGTTCTGGAGACGAATGGCATACGGTGAGCTACACTGCTGTCCAGGAGGTGCAGGGGAAAATACTGCATCAATTTTAAAGCTGTAGAAAGCCTAAATAAATAATAAAAATCTACCCTTTGCTTTCCAGAACTGAAAATAACATAAAGGGCCAGCTCTTCACTTTTTAAAAGTTGCAGTAAGGTGAAGGCCAAAGGAGAACAAAGATACTCTTTCCTCTTTTTCTGGGGCTCTGGGGAAGGAAGCCTGAAGGCAACCCTATGCACTTTCCACACTGAAGCACATGGCTCCTTGGCTTGCAAACGTGATGCAGCTGACTTGCTGACCCTGTGCTGTGGCAGGGCAGGCAGCTTTCGCCCCCTACTGCACCCAAACCTGAGAATGGGCAACAGCCTTAATGGTGGTCCAGAAAGGGATTTCCCTATAAAACCCCCCTCAAATCCTTGTGCCCTTGCCCAGACCGTTCCCTGCTCTCAGGTGATCTTGGGAGATGCCAGACTTTATGAATTCCTGCAGGAGAAGTGACTCAAGGACAGGGAATGCTGCACCCATTGACCTCCCTCCCTGCTCCTCGTCTTGCTGGGCTCTTCATTGTGATCTTTGGGAAGCAAAAGCATCCAGTCCCCTTTCTTCTGACTCAGCAGCTGCTTTGAAGTGATTTTTGTGCCAGTGGTGGGGCATCATGCCTGGCTAAAATGGCTTGGCTCTGCTACTCTTGCAACAAACTTCCAAAGGTCTCATGCTAGTGGTGGAGGGCAATTTGAAGAGAATGCAAATAAAGGCTTAAGTTCATTCATGCTGTTTGAATAGAGAATAGAAAGCTAAGCCACAGAGGGGATTGCAAGACAAATTCTTTGGGCTGCTGAGTTGTTAACACTGCCTAGAAAAGAAAGGACCAAAGTTGCCCCTGTTTGTTGCTTGCACGAAACCTTACCCAAAAAGGCACTACTCCAGTTATGAGGAAGGGGGAGTGATGCACAAAGAAACAAGAATGGAGGGGGACTCCTGTGGGGCACTGATCATTGGAGTTCCTGGTGACTGATCAGCAGACCATGTCCTCCAGGTTGCTTGATGGGCTGCATTGCTCCAGTTTATCTGGAGAGGAAGGGAAGGCTGCCACTATCCCGGAGCTAATCCAACTGTATTATTTCCTTTCCGGGAAACCACAGATAATTCTGCTCTCTACTACTCTGGGAACTCACAGATTCACCTTAAGAAACAGCCAGACTGTACCCTGGGATTTATTTCTTTTTAACCATCTTATCAACTCTTCAGGAAATTTTAAACCTGCTTACAGCCTCTCTCCTTATCTGCAGTGTGAGTCCTTAATGACTAGTTTGCAGCAATGACTTGATTTGGAAAGCATGCACTGAGCAGATTCAGTGTTAAGACTCCAAATTCCCTCTGACTTAGATCAAACTGACCAGAAACACCTATTTTG